AGTAAAAACATGTAATAATAACAGTAATAATAGATACACAATGAGTAACAATAACTTGGCTATATACACGGGGTACCAGTACCGAGTCGATGTACATGGGTACGAGGTAATTGAGGTAGATATTTACATATAAGTAGGAATAAAGTGACAGAAAATAAACAGTAGCAGCAGCGTATGTGATGAGACAAAACGTTAGTGCAAGAAAGGGTCAATGCAGAAAGTCCGGGTAGCTATTTGGTTAATTTAGCACAGTAAATTTGGTTGGGAATCATTGATGGACAGCAATATTCAAACCTTGTCTCTGTTTTTGTTCCTGAGTGGTCTAGTCTCAGTCCTGACTTAAATCTGCTCGAAAATCTGAGACAAAGTTTGAATATTTCTGTCCATCAATGATTCCCAACCAAATGTATAGAGCTTGAGCAATTTTGACGAAAAGATTGGACATATGTTCCCCTAAGAGTTGTGCAAAGTTGGTAGAATCTTATTCAAAATGATTCACAGCTGTAATGACTGCCAAAGGTGCTTCCACCAAGTATTAACTCTGGGTTGTGACGACATACGCAATCAAGACATCAACATTATTTTATTTTTAATTAATTTTGAAAATGTTCTCTAACTTTCTTTCACTTTGAATAGGTAAGTTGTGTAGATCTGCAGGAAACAATTCAAATGTATTCCCTTTTTAGATACAATTTTAATGCTGCAAAATGTGAAGACTGTGATAGCCGTGTGTAGACTTTCACTAGGCACTGTAGGTACAATAGATGGTGACTGCTGAGAAATTCTAAAATACAACAACTCTGACTGTGTCCTAAATGACAACCGATTCGCTCTTTGAAGTAGTGCACTATATAGAGAAAAGTACCCTACCTTGTCTAAGACAATTTCCCCCTCAGGGACATTAAAGTTCATCCTATCCTATCCTAAAATGGGCCATTTGGGACCTAGACGTGGAAAGAATAGTTGTGGAAAGAATGGCACCGGAGGGGATGGCTGCCGTTTTACGGGCTCCTAACCAATTGTGCTATTTTGTATGTTTTTTTCACATTGTTTGTAACTTATTTTGTACATAATGTTGATGCTACCATCTCTTATGACCGAAAATAGCTTCTGCATATCAGAACAGTGATTACTCACCTCAAACTGGACAAAGATGATTCTTTAATGAGTCTGACGCGAAGGATATAATGTTGCTCTCAGACAAGACCCAAATCCCCGTAATTCTCATGAAGAAAATAAGGAAATACAGGGGCGGAGATCAGGGTACCTTGTGAGAATGCGTAGACGAGTGGGTAACCCGCCTCTACCATCCGTTCTATTGGCCAACGTGCAATCAATGGATGAGCTCCGTTCGAGACTATCCTACCAACGGGACATTAAAAACTGTAATATCTTATGTTTCACCGAGTCGTGGCTGAACGGTGACATGGATAATATACAGTTGGCTGGGTTGTCTGTGCATCGGCAGGACAGAACAGCTACGTCCGGTAAGACGAGGGGTGGGGGTGTGTGTCTATTTGTCAATAACAGCTGGTGCGCGATGTCTAATATTAAGGTAGTCTCGAGGTATTGCTCCCCTGAGGTACAGTACCTCATGATAAGCTGTAGACCACACTATCTACCAAGAGAGTTTTCATCTATATTTTTCTAGCCCGCACTCAATGAGCTGTATATGGCCATAAGCAAACAACAAAATGCTCATCCAGAAGCGGCACTCCTAGTGGCCGGGGACTTTAATGCAGGCAAACTTAAATCCGTTTTACCTCATTTCTACTAGCATGTCACATGTGCAACCAGAGGAGAAAAAATAACTCTAGACCACCTTCACTCCACACACAGAGACGTGTAGAAAGCTCTCCCTTGCCCTCCATTTGGAGAGCTCTTTCCATAATTATATCCTCCTGATTCCTGCTTACATGCAAAAACTAAAGCAGGAAGTACCAGTGACTCGCTCAATACGGAAGTGGTCAGATTACGTGGATGCTACGCTACAGGACTGTTTTGCTAGCACAGACTGGAATATGTTCCGGGATTCATCCAATGGCATTGAGGAGTAAACCACCTCAGTCACCGGCTTCATCAATAAGTGCATCGACTACGTCATCCCCAAAGTGACCTACGTACATATTCCAACTAGAAGCCATGGATTACAGGCAACATCCACACCAAGCTAAAGGCTAGAGCTGCCATTTTCAAGGAGCGGGACACTAATCTGGACGCTTATAAGATTTCCCGCTATGCCATCAGACGAACCATCAAACAGGCAAAGCGTCAATACAGGACTAAGATTAAATCCTACTACACCGGCTCTGATGCTCGTCGGATGTGGCAGGGCTTGCAAACTATTACGGACTACAAAGAGAAAGCCAGCCTCGAGCTTCCCAGTGACACGAGCCTACCAGACGGGCTAAATGCCTTTAATGCTCGTTTCGAGGCAAGCAACTGAAGCATGCATGAGAGCACCAACTGTTCCGGACGACTGTGTGATCACGCTCTCCATAGCCGATGTGAGCAAGCCCTTTAAACAGGTCAACATTAACAAGGCCATGGGGCCAGACGGATTACAAGGACGTGTACTCAGAGAATGCGCTGACCAACTGGCAAGTGTCTTCACTGACATTTTCAACCTCTCCCTGACTGAGTCTGTAATACCTACATGTTTCAAGCAGACCAACATAGTCCCTGTGCCCAAGAAAGTGAAGGTAACCTGCCTAAATGACTACTGCCCCGTAGCACTCATGTCGGTAGCCATGAAGTGCTTTGAAAGGCTGGTAATGTCTCACATCAACACCATCATCCCGGAAACCCTAGACCCACTCCAATTCGCATACCGCCCCAACAGATCCACAGATGACGCAATCTCAATCGCACTCCACACTGCCCTTTCCATCCTGGACAAAAGGAACACCTAAGTGAGAATGCTGTTCATTGACTAAAGCTCAGCGTTCAACACCATAGTGCCCACAAAGCTCATTACTAAGCTAAGAACCCTGGGACTGAACACCTCCCTCTGCAACTGGATCCTGGACTTCCTGACAGGCCGCCCCCATGTGGTAAGGGTAGGCAACAACACATCTGCCACGCTGATTTTCAACACTGGGGCCCCTCGGGTGCGTGTTTAGTCCCCTTCTGTACTCCCTGTTCACCCACGACTGCGTGGCCAAGCACGACTCCAACACCATCATTAAGTTTGCTGACGACACAACGGTGGTAGGCCTGATCACCGACAACGATGAGACAGCCTATAGGGAGGAGGTCAGAGGCCTGGCAGTGTGGCTCCCTCAACGTGAGCAAGACAAAGGTGATGATCGTGGACTACAGGAAAAGGAGGGCCGAACATGCCCCCATTCACATCGACGGGTCTGTAGTGGAGCGCATCGAGAGCTTCAAGTTCCTTGGTGTCCACATCACCAACAAACTATCATGGTCTAAACACACCAAGAAAGTCGTGAAGAGGGCACGACAACGCCTTTTACCCCTCAGGAGACTGAAAAGATTTGGCATGGGTCACCAGATCCTCAGAAAGTTTTACAGCTGCACCATCAAGAGCATCCTGACCGCTTGCATCACCACCTGGTATGGCAACTGCTCGGCATCTGACTGTAAGGCGCTAGAGGGTAGTGCGTACAGCCCAGTACGTCACTGGGGCCAAGCTTCCTGCCATCCAGGACTTATATTCTAGGCGGTGTCAGAGGAAGAGCCAAAAAATTGTCAAAGACTTCAGTCACCCAAGTCATAGTCTGTTCTCTCTGCTACCGTATGGCATGCGGTACTGGAGCGCCAAGTCTAGGTCCAAAAGGCTCCTTAACAGCTTCTACCCCCAAGCCATAAGACTGCTGAACAATTAATCAAGAGGCCACCCAGACTATTTGCATTGACAACCCCCTGTGTATATAGTCTCATTATTGTTATTTTATTGTGTTACTTTTATTTATTTTTAAGTTTAGTTTATTTACTAAATATTTTCTTAAAACTGCCCCTGTTGTATTCGGCTCATGTGACAAATAAAATGTGATTTGAATATACTCTCAAGTCAACCTGACTGGAAGACTAGGTAACGATGGATGGATGTAGAGACAAAAAAAAAGAAAGAAAGAGATTTGAAGATAGTGTCATGATACTTCTCTATCTCATAGAGATAGGACAGCCTTGGTCAGAGCCTATGAGTTTTAAGGAGAATAGATAGAAAGTGACGACCCTAAACGAAAGACAAAGTAGGCCAACGATGCGTCCCAAATGCCACCCTCTTCCTTATCTAGTGCCCTAGACCTTTTAGGGCTCTGGTCAAAAGTAGTGGACTGTAGAGGGAATAGGGTACCATTTGGGACACAGCCATTTTTAAAAGAAAGTGAAGGGAATGATTATTAATGCCATGACATCTGTCAAGAATGCTGAGTGTGGATGTGGTGCGAGAAATCAAGCGCAGGAACAAGGGCGTTCGTCAACAGACTTTAGTGATCCAAAAATATAACTGCAAACAGGTAACTGGCCAACCCAACCGGGAGGCATGAACAATTACGCACACACACAACAGTGCGTAAAATAGTAGAAACGCGCACGCAGTGCGGACTCTCAAAAAACAAACAACATGAGAGGAAAACCCACCAACAGCTAACAGCTGACATAACAATCACACATAACACCTGACCCAACACACGATAACTAAATAGGAAACAAAATCAAACACTAACAAGGGACAGGTGTACAAACAGACAAAACCAAACAAACATGAAACATCGAACGGTGGTAGCTAGTACTCCGGGGACGACGACCGCCGAAGCCTGCCCGAACAAGGAGGAGGAGCAGCCTCGGCCGAAACCGTGACAACATCTTAGAGTTATTGTTTTGACTTTTTGGCGCAATTGACAAAACGAAGAAGAGGAAGAGTAGAAACCCCTTTACAGGAGCAGTACTACTTAACTACACACCTGTCTCTGTTTCTCTATGTTTTTCAGTTTCTCTCAGTTTCTCTTCTTTCTCTCTCTTTCTATCTCTTTCAGTTCCTCCTCGTTCTTGTGTGCCCTTACGTGGTCAGTCATGGGGAGAGTTTGGTGTGTGTATGCGTGAGTGAGCGTGTGTGTGCGTGGGAGGGGGCAGATGGCATAGCTCTACGAACTGGCATCACAGCGGGTGTGTGTGTTGTGTGGGGTGTGTGTGTGTGTGGGGGGGGGGGGGGGTAACCTAGAGGGACAGGACACAAGGACATTTCTCTGGAACTTTGTCCTTGCCCTTGGCCCATGTCAGAACCAGTCACGCCTGTGTGTGTTTGTGCGATGCGTGCTTGCGTGCATGCGTACGTGCATGCGTGTGTGTGTGCATCAGTGTGTCAGTCATTCAGATGGACAGAGGTGATAAACGAGTGTTAGAAAGGAGGATGTTTGTCATCTGGCAGCAGTGCTATGGGGGAATAGATGGACAGATGACGGGTGGATGAGGGAAAAAAGAGAAGAGCGAGGGAAGGAAGGAAGCGAAGTGTGGAAGAGGAGGGAAAGAGGGAGTGGAGGAAAAGAGGACAGGTAAGACGGGGTGTATAGCAAGAAGATCTCACAGTTTTACCAATTTGACTTCAGATTCTGACGTTGTGTATGTGGTTGTGTGAGAGAAAGAGAAAGAGAGAAAATAGACAGACCCTGAGTAGAAAAATCTTGTCTACACAATATGGCATTTACAGGAATGTTCTGATAATATTTCCCCATCTTTGGATGACGTCAAACACACGCACAGGGAGTGTGTGTGTGTGGACGTGTTTAACTATACTTGTGGGGACCAGAATTCCCCACAAGAATAGTAAACCAATAGAAATTTGACCAACTGGGGACATTTTGTTGGTCCCCACAAGGTCAAATGCTATTTCTAGGGGGTTTAGGATTAAGGTTAGAATTAGTGTTGGGGTTAGAATTAGGTTTAGGGTTAGTGTTAGGAGATAGGGTTAGGAGCTAAGGTTAGGTTTAGCGTTAGGGTTAAGGTTTTTGGGTTAGGGTTAAGGTTAGGGTTAGGGGTTAGGGAAAATAGGATTTTGAATGGGACTGAATTGTATGTCCCCACAAGGTTAGCTGAGCAAAACTGTGTGTGTGTGTGTGTGTGTGTGTGTGTGTGTATTTGTAAAAGAGACCTAGGTCTCAATTTGTCTTCTCTGTTAAAATAAAGATTAAGTAAATGTAAGAGTGCCAACAGTTCTCTGACACAGCCATTAGATAAAGTACACTGTATGGCTGAACAGTAGAGGGAGTGAGAGAGGATACATTTTTTGGTGAATGAGAAAATAGAGTGAGAGAGATTTTCAGATGTTCGACCCCACAGAACTCTCGACATGTATTGTGTGTGTGCGTGCGTGTGTGAACACAGATTTAATTTTGGATCCTGTAGGATCTACAGTTTCCTATCTGCCTCATTGACCCTTCTGTCTTTCTCGTCTTTCAGATTTGGACGCCATGTTGGGGCCGCAGCAGTTCAGGGGCGTGGCCAACTTTAGCACCTTTCTATTGGACCGTTCATCTGGGGTTCTTTTCCTGGGTGCGAGAGACGCCATACTGGCTGTGGATACAAACAACCTGGCAAAGCAACCACGCACGGTGAGGGAGGGAGTGTTTGTTTGTTTGTGTGTGTGTGTGTGTGTGTGTGTGTGTGTGTGTGTGTGTGTGTGTGTGTGTGTGTGTGTGTGTGTGTGTGTGTGTGTGTGTGTGTGAGAAACTGAAATACCTTGAAATGTGTCTTCTCATCTGTGCTTGTTTCTCTCTCCTCCTCCTCATTCTCTCTCTCTCTCCTTCTATCTCTCTGTCTCTATTCTTTCTCTCTCTCTCTCTCCTATCTCTCTCCTCTCTCTCTCTCTCTCGCTCTCTCTCCTCTCTCTCTCTCTCCTCTCTCTCTCTCCTTCTCTTTCTCTCTCCTTCTCTCCTTCTCTCTCTCTCCTTCTCTCTCTCTCTCTCCTTCTCTCTCTCTCTCTCTAGATCATGTGGGATGTTCCTGAGGAGAAGAAGAGGTCCTGTGTGGCTAAAGGAAAGACAGAGGTGAGAATTTGTTTTACCCCTCAACATTTTTATCACAGTGCAATTATCACAAAACATATTATTGATAGGCTAGATGATAGGCTATAAAGGCCTGGGGAAAGTTGTGTAATTTAAATAAAACCAGAGAGGAAGAGGCGAACATTAGGCTACTTTGGTAAATTTGCGAGGCACTGCCCATTACTGCTTATCACTTATTAACCATCATTTATTCACATTATTTTACTTTAATAAAATATTTTAGTTGTTGTGTATATTATATTCATTTTATTTGCTGACTTTTTTATTTCATTCCAAGTCATCACCTCATCTCTATAGAGATGCTGTCTGACAAAATCACTATTTTATGACTGCAGAATACCAACTATCAATCACTTAGGTCACATATTTTCAGGTAGGGATACCTTACGGAGCAACAGCTGCTCTCTATATCCCCTCACGGTCTTGCATTTTTCTGTGTGTTCCGTAGCAGGTGTAAAAGAAACACAGACTGGACAAGTGGATTATGGTCATTGTAGTTAATTGCCAAGTTTTATGCGCTAACTATGTAGAATATTGGCCTGTTGGAAACTACAACTCCCTACTACATTGCACAGTTCAGTCTGGATCTGATTTATCTCTGTGCAATGTGTGCATTGAACTCACATAAAAAACTGAATGAAATGGAATTCAAATAATTGTGTGTGTGTGCGCATACGTGTGTGTGTGTGCGTTCACATTGGCTGTTCAGAACTACCACCAACCCTGCCAACTTCAACCCCCCCTCTCCTCCACCTCCAGTCTACATCCCAAATGCCACCCTATTCCCTGTATAGTGCACTACTTTTGACCAGGGTTCTGGTCAAAAGTAGTGCATTAAATAGGGAATAGGGTGGCATTTGGGACGCATACCTAGTTCCCTTCTCCTATATTCACTAGGATTGCAAGTGCATATCTATGTCATGGTGGAGAATAAGAGGGGGGTTGAGGTTGGAGGGGTTTGACACACACTATTGAAAAAGGGTTTTATGTCATGGTAAAGGGGTTGAGGGGTGGGCTAAGGTTGGGTTGATCAGTTGGTGGTCTTTCTGTAGCAGAGTGAGGGGGGGTGGGGTGGAGGAGGTCTTATGACTTTCACCAATGGGGGCCCTCTGGTTTCTTATCGGAACCATCAGTGGTTCTAGTGTTCAAGTGTTCTCAGTATAGTCCCAGTCGGTATAAGATAGAATGTCGCGGCCCCTTCCCGCCTGTGGGGAAAACAACCTGTGGTTCCCTAGGTTACCTCAATGGCTCAGAACAAATACTTGACTGGTTTCAAATGTAATGTTCTTGTTGTGAGCTTGTTTTAGTCAATTACAAAACTTCATTTAAGAAAAGAACAACATGTCTAAGGATTACTTTTCAACACTGCCTGCTCACGAGTATTCTCACTACATAGAAAAACATAATATTGTAGGGCTTTCCTCATGCCCCTTTTCATGACGGTGCTAGCAGCCACGTGAGTGAGTGCTAGCTAGCTGCCGACCGGAACATTAAGCTAGCCAAGACCAACAACACAAACAGACTATACAGCTACAAGTAGTGAGTGGAATTACAAACGGACTATACTAAACAAGTTAAATGTCTTACCTGTGATTAAATGTTTTCCACACACATAACTATGTGTAGCCTACTTGAACACCGGGTCCCCACATTTCCCACTCTTCCACGCCGAATAGCCTGAAGCCACAGGGCTCTTCTCGCAGGCTCTATTTCCCTACGTGGGAGCATTGCGAACCATAGGTCGGGATTTTTTTTTACCTTGTTACATGTATATGGAACAACACAGAAGCTTTTGTTATTTCTGAATAAACAAAACATCTACAACGAACTTGGCTCTTTTACAATGGGGGTCAATAGGAAGTAATGTTTGTTTCCCCAATTTGTGGGCTTGGTCGAGAGGAATTCCTTATTATTACGTGAATATCAACTTGGAGTATAGATGCGGTAAAGATGTCAATGGAACTCGACCCAAACAATGGAAATGCCATGGAAATGCGTGGGGAAAGATGCTCATTTCCTCCCAGCAAAATGGGCCTACCTTTAGGCTACTGTTTATATATGTGTATTTCACACTATGTTGAGGTAAAAATCTGAGTATAATGCTTGTATGGATGTCAACCCCAATACATGTTCATGTCATGGTCACCAATCAACTGCATTGCAGTTAAAAACTACTTTGAATACCACCACCGATTTCTGTATGCTAGCTATGCTACCAGCTTATACGAACGGGAGTTAGCATTTACAGTAGCAGTCACTTCTTCTAAACCTGAAAAAGAACAACTTCTAAATGTTATGCAGCGAAAACAGCCAAATATATCCAAATCAGACTTTATTAACCAAATTGTGGGCCTGTTACAATACATCAATCATGACGTATTTGACGAATATCCACTTTGTTAGATCAGAGTTGTTGAATGTGCGCCAATCCGACACCCTTCTTCTACCCCCCACAGTCTGCGTTCCATTCACCTCTTTACTGCATCTATTCTGCCTCTTTTATAGGGGCAATCTGCAGATTAAAAAATAACAAAGTGAAGAGTTCATGTCCAAAACGCTATATCCACTAATTTTCACATTTGTGTTTTTCCATCAGAAATGATTGCTTATGGGTACCTTCATCTGTGTAATATATTACTGATGTTTTAATTCATAGGTTTTAGGGGCCAAATGCTATATATCCATTGTTTATCTGGAATGGAATGTTCGTATCCTGTATATTTGACTGTGATATGTGGTTGTCTTACCTAGCTGTCTTAAGATTAATGCACTTACTATATTATTTGTTACATTTGACTGTGTAAAACAGCTGAGGGATGGGGCTGGAGAAATGTATCCACTCTCAAATTCATAGACGGAGCTATGGATGCAAGGACTGGCCATCCATGAGATCAAACATTGTCGGTGTGCCCACTTTGTTATTGTTTGAACTGTAGATTGCCCCTTTAACTACAGTATTAAAGTACAATACATTAGAACTAATTAAAATTCTGTGGTGAAATATGATTGTAATTTCACTCATCCCCCTGTCCTCTGTCTCACCCTATAGGGTGACTGTAATAACTACATCCGCCTGCTGGAGTTTCTGGGAGACGGGCAGATCTACGCCTGTGGCACCTATGCTTTCGACCCGCAGTGTGCCTTCCTGGTGAGTGTGTGTGTGTGCAATGAGCTGCAATCGAACCCTTCTGACATGCTCCGACACTCGTTCACACTCGTTCACACACCAAAGTGACAGGCAGAAAAACACACACACAAACACAAACACAAATCAAATCAAATGTAATTTGTCACATACACATGTTTAGCAGATGTTATTGCGGGTGTAGCGAAATACTTGTGCTTCTAGCTCCGACAGTGCAGTAATATCTAACAAGTAATATCTAACTATTTCACAACATATACCCAATACACACAAATCTAAGTAAGGAATGGAATTTAAGAATATATACATATATGGACGAGCAATGACAGAGCGGCATGGATTAAGATACAGTAGAATATTATAGAATACAGTATATACATATGAGATGAGTAATGCAAGATATGTAAACATTATTAAAGTGACTAGTGTTCCATTTCTTAAAGTGGCCAGTGATTTCAATAGGCAGCAGCAGCCTCTAATGTGCTAGTGATGGCGCGCACACACACACACTCCGTTTGACAAACATTGGATTGACAGGTACACACAGATACGTTCGTACAAAAACACATACAAGCAGACTCCATGTTAGAGACAGATAAATGCACGCACGCGCACACACACGCACACGCACGCACACTTGCACACACAGAAGAGAGAGAAAGCAAGAAGGATTTATCTTTCTTTCATTTTTTTCTTTCATTATTTTGTTCATTCTTTCTTCTTCCTTCTCTTGCTGGCCTCTTAGAATGATAACCTCATCTCTTTGTTTTTTTCTCTCTTTTCTCATCCCTCTCTTTTCTCTCTTTCAGAACATGTCTTCATTCTCTCTGGAGCGATGGGAGGATGGAAGGGTGAGGATGGAGACAGGGAAAGGGAAATGTCCCTTTGAGCCCAGCCAGCACTATACAGCTGTCATGGCAGGTAATAACACACACACACACACACACACACACACACACACACACACACACACAGGTAATATACACATTGATTTTACACACACTAGCTAACAAACACAGTGGCCACCCTGAGGTTAGCGTCTTATCCAGGGACATCAAGCTGCCTCACGCTACAAAAACAGGAGATTGGCCCATAGGGCAGGAGCCGTTCTGGCTCAGACAAAGCTTACTTACTTTACACATACTAATACACACGCAGATATGCCTACAAATAACCCTCTCTCACACACTCTCAAATCAAATTATATTGGTCGCGTACACAGTTTAGCAGATGTTATAGCAGGTGCAGTGAAATGTTCATGTTACTAGCTCCTAACAATGCAGATGTCGTATCGGGTGAATGGTGGCAATTATTGCTGTCAACAAAGAGTCCGCTTATGCTGCACAATGATTAGAGGCTTTTATTAATATCACAAGGTTACAGCATAAGTTACAGACCCGCGGTGTCTGGAGAACGGCGTCCCAGATTGCAATGGCCGTTCTGCCTTCTCCTTCGGTTTTCCCCCTACTTATAAACAATGCAAAAAGATGCTCCCTCTTCTGGCCAATCACCAGTCTCCCCTGTCTACAACACACTTCCTGTCTGTTGTATGTGACGTTACACTAAAACATTCCCTCTTGATACTAAAATCAACATTCTTTCAGTTCCACTTAAAAAACATTTAACAACGTCATAATCTCAATACACGACACAGACAAATGTGAAACAGTATAAAGTACACAAATAATCAAAAATGTATAGGAAAAAAACAAGAAATCAAGAAATGTTGGAACGAATCCAATTAACAACCCCAATAGCACTGTAACAGTAATCCAAATGCAGTCTATACGTATATACACCGGATGAATTTACACAAGATATACTAAGAATTATATGTACAGCAGTAGATATATTAGGGTGAGCTATGTCAATAATCCAGTATATAAATAAATATGCTGTGTATAAACAGTTCAACCAAAATGCAATGTACAGAAGTAGTAATATTAGAACACAGCATTAAAAACCTCATGGCAAAATGGATAGAATTGCAGGAAATTAACTTCCGGACCAGAGTCCGGAATATAAATATATGTACCCTCTCTCTCTCGCTCTCTCCTTCCCTCTCTCCCTCCCTCCCCTTCTCCCCCTCCCCTTCTCCCCCTCCCCTTCTCTCTCTTTCTCTCTCTCTATCCCTCCTGCTCTCTAGATGGTATCCTGTACACTGCCGCCACCAGTAACTTTCTGGGAACGCTGTTCGATATCTCCCGGGCCACCGGTCAGGAGCAGGAACGGATCCGCACCGAGAGATCTATTAACTGGCTCAGTGGTGAGAGGATACACACAGGCGCAGACACACGCACGCACGCGCGCACACACACACACAAACACACAGAGTGTGCAGACACAACACACAGGTGCAATGCATAGATGCACACGCACACACACAGACCAGCAGCACACAGAGACCACCAGCAAATGCACATGCACACGCACAGACACACAGACACACACACACACACACACACACACACACACAGTGCTTCACACACTCCCACACACTTGTTTCATACGTCTCTTTCGCGCTCTCTCGCTCTCTCTCTCTCGCTCTCTCTCTCTCTCTCTCTCTCTCTCTCTCTCTCTCTCTCTCTCTCGCTCTCTCTCACTTTGTTCATACCTGTGTGTGTGTTTCTCTCTCTCTCTGCAGACCCAGAGTTTGTGTCCTCAGCATTCATACAGCAGGATGAAGACACCAACCCAACAGGAGACGACAACAAGATCTATTTCTTCTTTACCGAGGTCGCCAAGGAGTATGACCTCTACACTAAGGTCAAAGTTCCCAGGGTCGCACGCGTTTGCAAGGTGAGTGTGGGGCATGGAGTGGGGGTGGTGGTGGAGGAAGGGGGGGGGGGTGTGAGGCGGTTGGTTGTGTGTGTGTTTGAGCTTGCATGCGTTCTTAATACTCTTTCTTCATTTGTCGATCCCACTGCTTCCCCACCCCCCCCTCTCTCTAGTCTGATGTAGGTGGTATGAAGACATTGCAGAGACGTTGGACCACCTTCGTCAAGGCTCAGTTGGTGTGTGAGAACAGAGCCAGCGGACAACGCTACAACATACTGACAGATGTCTACACAACCCAACACACATCTGGCGATCCAAGCTCTACGCACTTTTATGGGCTCTTTACTTCTCAGTGGTAAGTATGAAGGGATGGAGAAGGAGGTAGGGATGGAGTACTTGTGTACTGCTCTTGTTTACACACCTCTTTTTTTTTTTACCAAAATCAAATCCTTCTCTCTTTCTTTCTTTCACTCTCTCTTTTGCTCTATTTTTCTCTCTTCTGTGTATATACAGTACCAGTCAAAAGTTTGGACACACCTACTCATTCAAGGGTTTTTCTTTATTTTTACTATTTTTTACATTGTAGAATAGTAGTATAGACATCAAAACTATGAAATAACACATATGGAATCATGTAGTAACCAAAAAAGTCTTAAACAAATCAAAATATATTTTATATTTGAGATTCTTCAAATAGCCACCCTTTGCCTTGATGACAGCTTTGCACACTCTTGGCATTCTCTCAACCAGTGTCACCTGGAAAGCTTTTCCAACAGTCTTAAAGGAGTTCTCACATATGCTGAGCACTTGTTGGCTGCTTTTCATTCACTCTGCCCTCCGACTCATCCCAAACCATCTCAATTGGGTTGAGGTCGGGGGATTGTGGAGGCCAGGTCATCTGATGCAGCACTCCATCACTCTCCTTCTTGGTAAAATAGCCCTTACACAGCCTGGAGGTGTGTTGGGTCAGTGTCTTGTTGAAAAACAAACGATATTCCCACTAAGCCCAAACCAGATCGGATGGTGTATCGCTGCAGAATGCTGTGGTAGCCATGCTGGTAAAGTGTGCTTTGAATTCTAAATAAATCACAGACCGTGTCACCAGCAAAGCACCCCCACACCATAACACCTCCTCCTCCATGCTTTACGGTGAGAACTACACATGCAGAGATCATCCGTTCACACACACGGCCTCTCATAAAGACACGGCGGTTGGAACCAAAAATCTCCAATTTGGACTCCAGACCAAAGGACAAATTTCCACTTGTCTAATGTCCATCGCTCGTGTTTCTTGGCCCAAGCAGGTCATATTGGCGTCCTGTAGTATTGGTTTCTTTGCAGCAATTAGACCATGAAGGCCTGATTCACACAGTCCCTTCTGAACAGTTGATGTTGAGATGTGTCTGTGACTTGAACTCTGTGAAGCATTTATTTGCGCTGCCATTTCTGAGGTTGGTAACTCTAATGAACTTATCCTCTGCATTAGAGGTAACTCTGGGTCTTCCATTCCTGTGGCGGTGCTCCTGAGAGCCAGTTTCATCATAGTGCTTGATGGTTTTTGCAACTGCACTTGAAGAAACTTTAGAAGTTCTTGACATTTTCCGTATTGATTGACTTCTCTTTGCTTATTTGAGCTGTTCTTGCCAAATAGGGCTATCTTCTGTATACCCCCACTACCTTGTCACAACACTGATTGGCTCAAACGCATTTAGAAGGAAAGAAATTCCACAAATTAACTTTTAAGAAGGCACACCTGATAATTGAAATGCATTCCAGGTGACTACCTCATGAAGCTGGTTGAGAGAATGCCAAGAGTGTGCAAAGCTGTCATTAAGCCAAACAGTGGCTATTTTAAGTTAACTTTTTTGGTTACTGGGTCATTCTACAGATTCGGTGCCTTTTGTGATTGAGGAGGATGAAACAATGAACATTAAAATCTTAAGCTTTTTTTTATTTGATGTGACAAAGTAATGTGTGTACTTGATAGAAAATACCTTTTCCCATCTCAATGTAGAGTATTAAGTTATTATTCTGTATTATTTTCTCAAACAAGTCCCAATTTAATTCAACCCCGTCACAGTCATTTTGTTATTCAACTATTCATTTTTCCAATAAGCTTGAGATCAGCTTCTGGCATAATCTCACAGTTTAGATGTCCCTTGTAAATAATGGCATATTGTAATTAAAGAGAAAATCAAGAAAAACTGACCAGCACCATCCTTTCCAGTTTACGATGAAGAAATTTCTAATCTAACTCCACATTTTCGCAAGAAATGTGCAAGAATGCTGCGTAATTCCTGACAAAATTGAAATAGCCTTATTTACCCTGAATTAATACACACAATAAAAACACTATTGATGTTATATTTTGTGTATTTAATACAAAAATGTAAAAATAATAATCTCGTAACAGGGATGAATGCACCGCAACAGGGTTGAAAATCATGTAACAGGGTTGAGTGAAAAGCATCACGTGTCATATGTTTTATCTTTTGAGATCACTAACATGTTGCCATTTTTAAAACATTTAAAACATTTTTAAACCTACTGTCAACATAGCTTTTAAAATCTAAAGAATCTAGATGAAAGCTAGACAGAGTAAAACACATTCATGAACAAATAACAGTAACAACATTTCATTGATTTCATAAAAATATCCATCTGATAATGGCAGGAGTCTGTTTGAACATTGAGCAAACATCTTAACATTGATAACCTACAGTGAGGGAAAAAAGTATTTGATCCCCTGCTGATTTTGTACGTTTGCCCACTGACAAAGAAATGATCAGTCTATCATTTTAATGGTAGGTTAATTTCAACAGTGAGAGACAGAATAACAACAAAATAATTCTGAAAAACGCATGTCAGAAATGTTATAAATTGATTTGCATTTTAATGAGGGAAATAAGTATTTGACCCCCTCTCAATCAGAAAGATTTATGGCTCCCATGTGTCTTTTATACAGGTAACGAGCTGAGATTAGGAGCACACTCTTAAAGGGAGTGCTCCTAATCTCAGCTTGTTACCTGTATAAAAGACACCTGTCCACAGAAGCAATCAATCAGATTCCAAACTCTCCACCATGGCCAAGACCAAAGAGCTCTCCAAGGATGTCAGGGACAAGATTGTAGACCTATACAAGGCTGGAATGGGCTACAAGACCATCGCCAAGCAGCTTGGTGAGAAGGTGACAACAGTTGGTGCGATTATTCGCAAATGGAAGAAACACAAAATAACTGTCAATCTCCCTCGGCCTGGGGCTCCATGCAAGATCTCACTTCGTGGAGTTGCAATGATCATGAGAACGGTGAGAAATCAGCCCAGAACTACACGGGATGATCTTGTCAATGATCTCAAGGCAGCTGGGACCATAGTCACCAAGAATACAATTGGTAACACACTACGCCGTGAAGGACTGAAATCCTGCAGCGCCCGCAAGGTCCCCCTGCTCAAGAAAGCACATATACATGCCCGTCTGAAGTTTGCCAATGAACATCTGAATGATTCAGAGGAGAACTGGGTGAAAGTGTTGTGGTCAGATGAGACCAAAATGGAGCTCTTTGGCATCAACTCAACTCGCCGTGTTTGGAGGAGGAGAAATGCTGCCTATGACCCCAAGAACACCATCCCCACCGTGGAGGTGGAAACATTATGCTTTGGGGGTGTTTTTCTGCTAAGGGGACAGGACAACTTCACCGCATCAAAGGGTCGATGGACGGGGCTATGTACCGTCAAATCTTGGGTGAGAACCTCCTTCCCTCAGCCAGGGCATTGAAAATGGGTTGTGGATGGGTATTCCAGCATGACAATGACCCAAAACACACGGCCAAGGCAACAAAGGAGTGGCTCAAGAAGAAGCACATTAAGGTCCTGGAGTGGCCTAGCCAGTCTCCAGACCTTAATCCAATAGAAAATCTGTGGAGGGAGCTGAAGGTTCGAGTTGCCAAACGTCAGGCTCGAAACCTTAATGACTTGGAGAATATCTGCAAAGAGGAGTGGGACAAAATCCCTCCTGAGATGTGTGCAAACCTGGTGGCAAACTACAAGAAACGTCTGACCTCTGTGATTGCCAACAAGGGTTTTGCCACCAAGTACTAAGTCATGTTTTGCAGAGGGGTCAAATACTTATTTCCCTCATTAAAATGCAAATCAATTCATAACATTTTTTACATGCGTTTTTCGGGATTCTTTTGTTGTTATTCTGTCTCTCACTGTTCAAATAAACCTACTATTAAAATTATAGACTGATCATTTCTTTGTCAGTGGGCAAACGTACAAAATCAGCAGGGGATCAAATACTTTTTTCCCTCACTGTATATAGGTCACATGTTGCCATTTTTTAACATTTTAAACTACTGTCAACATAGCTTTTAAAGTTTAAACAATCAAGATGAAATCTAGACAGATTAAAACACATTAATAAACTAACAACAGTTACAACATTTCATTGATTTCATAGAAATATCCAGAGTAATGGCAGGAATGTCTGTGTTGTTTGAATGTTTGAACATTAAGCAAACATCTTAACATTAATAACCTATAGGTAAGCCTACAGTTTGTTCACCATTTTTACTGAGAGAGCCTAGCCCACACTTCCTTCTGTATTTCCATGTGCCTAGAAGTCACCGGTTTAGGGGGATCAATGTGTTCCAAGATGTCCTCAAATGGATACCACAGGATATCATCAAGAAGTGGCCAGAAGTACCTATTTGGTCCAGCACAGCACATGCATTTGACCTGCACATGGGATTCATCTGTGGCTAGAATTATTCCGGGATAGAAATCGTCATCATATTTGGCCACGCACCATTTCCCGCATATGTCTTTTGACCTCTCTTATCTAGATCTCCTATTCCTTTCTTCTTTCCTGCTAAAACATATTTTGTCCATCTCATGCGTTCACTCCTGAGGTACTTTTCCCTTCGTTCTGGATCAGCATTTCTTCTTGCCCTGTACTCTCTTTGCCTTTCTGCTGCTGTTTTTGCCATTGTTGAATCTGAAATTGTAGGTCAAGGTCAAGTCAATGACCAGTTTACTCTCCAAAACTAATTACTGTATCCTTTTAATCACTATGTAGTAAAATGAACGTGAACTTGCAGATAATACTCCTAAATATGTCAGTACAAACCAGTCGGCTAGTGAACATGAACCCCTCACGCACCAGTTGCCAAGGCAGTATACTGTATGTCTTTTTAGACTAGTCTTCATTTACATTCTCTAGTCTTTTTATGCATTACCAAATTATGCTTTAAAGCAACAAAACTTTATTTTCTGTTGATTGTGTGTCCATGACCACCACCACCTCGTGTCTTAAAGATCTTACATTTCCAGGAGAATTACCTGACCACCGGCGCGCGGATGTCCCTCACCTTCCTCTCTATGTGTGTTTCCTTTCTGCTGCAGTTTTTTCCATTGTTGAATCTGAAATTGTAGGTCAAGGTCAAGTCAATGACCTGCTTACTCTTCAAGACTAAATATTGTATCCTTTTAATCACTATGTAGTAAAATGAACATGAACTTGCAGATAATACTCCTAAATATGTCAATGTCTATAGGAGAGAGAACAAATTAATTGTCACTTTTTTAAAGTTATTATTTTCAAAAATTCCTCGTACTTTTAGTTGATACTGTAAAACCGTAAACAACAAACATTCAACAAGAAAATATGATTGGTATTAAGCAATATACATTAAATATTGCTAAGATTTAACAGCTATTCAACCCTGTAACAGCCATTCAACCCCGTAACATTGAAAAATGTGATGGGGTTGAATGTGACAGGGTTGAAGATTTTGTGCTAATCTGTTGCTAATTCGGGATGCTAGCAGCTAGCATTGTGCCACATGGCCTTATTCAACAAAATACATTGTTATACTTCATAGCTATAAAAACAATTCTTGGTAAAATCTTAACTATGAATTCCCCCCCCCCCCAACAGAGTTGAATACCTGAGATTGACAAAGCCCATATGTGCTTAAAAAACATGAAATATTTATAAAAAGTGAGAGAGCAGCTTACCACTTGTCACACCAGGCTTCTCTGAAGACTTGTATGATGTCACTTCCTCATAAATGATGTCCACAGGATCAAACCATTATTTAATTGTGAGTGGGGGTATTGTTGCGTTACGGGGTTGAAAGAAATACAAGGACAGGGGTAAAAGCCTGAATTTCTCAGAAAATAAAATGTCTTATGCTGAGAAAATGGATTATGCATAATAAGGGGGCATATACAATTAATTTAACAAAAAAAAAGCATTATTATTTAACACTGTGTACTCAAAATGAGTCACGCCATTTGCATGATGGTCAATAGGGACAGGCGAAATTCTTAATACTCCTAAGAAAAGCAAACATATAAGTATTGAAATTCATCTCTGTTTAAAATCATATTCTCTACTCCATATTAAAAACATGTAAAACTTTGAAATGTTGTAATTTAAGTGTAGTTTGATAAATGTTCTGACAAGTTATAACACTAGTACATCTTGGGACACTGACAATACTGAAATGTCACCGAATCTGTAGAATGACCCTACTACATGATTCCACATGTGTTATTTCATAGTTTTGATGTCATCACTATTATTCTACAATGTAGAAAATAGTTTAAAATAAAGAAAAACCCTGGAATGAGTAAGTGTGTGTGTGTGTGTGTGTGTGTGTGTAGGGAGCATGAGGAGTTGTCAGCGGTTTGTGTGTACAGTCTGGCTGACATCAGCAAAGTGATGGACGGACCTTTCAAAGAACTGAAGAAGACCTGTGAGAATTGGATCAACCCAGAACCCGTACCTACACCCAGACCAGGACAGGTAATGTCTAGAACACAAAACCTAGAACCTGCACAGTCTATAACATAACCTAGAACCAGCATAATCTAGAACATAGCGCCTAGAACCAGTAGCAACACCTAGACCAGGACCAGGTACAGCATAGAACATAACGACACCTAAAACCTGAAACTACAGGTAGAACCTGTACCTACACCCAGAACAGGTAGGGGTAAGGTCTACAACATGACATCTAGAACCCATACCTACACCTAGAACTAGTACCTACACTAGACCAGGGCAGACAGTCTAGAACCCTTACATTTTAATCTGGACCTCAAAGCCAGTTCCACTGCTTTTGTTCATTCTTCCCTTCTAATCATGGACTAATTTAGACCTGGGACACCAGGTGGGTGCAATTCATTATCGTGTAGAACAGAGAAAAAGCAGTAGTCGGGACCTTGTAAGGTAAAATTTGAATACCCCTGGTCTATAACATAACACCTAGAACCTGTAACTACACCTAGACCAATCAGTTACCTGCCTAGTTAAATAGTACAATAAAGTAGGTCAATAAGTGAAATCATTGTTTTGATGTATGTATATCTCATTTTTGCTGCACAATAATTGCCATTCAGGAACAATACAGATCTATTAAATTGAATTGAAATTAAATGAAATAAAAAAAAATACATTGAGTTGAATTGATAAAAACTGTATAAAAAAATTGGAGTCATCGTCTCTCAAGCAGCCACACACACACACTGACTAATTAAATTATTGTTTGTTTTCTCATCCACCAGTGTCTAAACAGTGCTCTGAGAGCGAAGGGCTTCGAATCTTCTCTCAAACTGCCTGACAAGGTAATATATTATATAATATATCATGTATAATAACATAATATAATATATTATAATTATTATTTTGTTTATTTGAATAGGGACAAGTACAAACACATTGACACATTGAACAAACAATCATGTGATGCATTACACTAGTGTTTCCATCTTAAACATGTTTTCGATATTCATTTACATGAATAAAATATAATATATAATCATGTATTGTAATATATATATATATATATATATATATACACACACAGTGAGGGGAAAAAAGTATTTCATCACCTGCTGATTTTGTACGTTTGGCCACTGACAAAGACATGATCAGTCTATAATTTTAATGGTAGGTTTATTTGAACAGTGAGAGACAGAATAACAACAAAATAATCCAGAAAAACGCATGTCAAAAATGTTATAAATTGATTTGCATTTTAGTGAGGGAAATAAGTATTTGACCCCTCTGCAAAACATGACTTAGTACTTGGTGGATCTTCTCCAAGTCATTAAGGTTTCGAGGCTGACGTTTGGCAACTCGAACCTTCAGCTCCCTCCACAGATTTTCTATGGGATTAAGGTCTGGAGACTGGCTAGGCCACTCCAGGACCTTAATGTGCTTCTTCTTGAGCCACTCTTTTGTTGCCTTGGCCATGTGTTTTGGGTCATTGTCATGCTGGAATACCCATCCACGACCCATTTTCAATGCCCTGGCTGAGGGAAGGAGGTTCTCACCCAAGATTTGACGGTACATGGCCCCGTCCATCGTCCCTTTGATGCAGTGAAGTTCCTCCTCCTCCAAACACGTCGAGTTGAGTTGATGCCAAAGAGCTCGATTTTGGTCTCATCTGACCACAACACTTTCACCCAGTTCTCCTCTGAATCATTCAGATGTTCATTGGCAAACTTCAGACGGCCCTGTATATGTGCTTTCTTGAGCAGGGGGGGCTGCAGGATTTCAGTCCTTCACGGCGTAGTGTGTTACCAATTGTTTTCTTGGTGACTATGGTCCCAGCTGCCTTGAGATCATTGACAAGATCCTGCCATGTAGTTCTGGGCTGATTCCTCACCGTTCTCATGATCATTGCAACTCCACGAGGTGAGATCTTGCATGGAGCCCCAGGCCGAGGGAGATTGACAGTTATTTTGTGTTTCTTCAATTTGCGAATAATCGCACCAACTGTTGTCACCTTCTCACCAAGCTGCTTGGCGATGGTCTTGTAGCCCATTCCAGCCTTGTGTAGGTCTACAATTTTGTCCCTGACATCCTTGGAGAGCTCTTTGGTCTTGGCCATGGTGGAGAGTTTGGAATCTGATTGATTGATTGCTTCTGTGGACAGGTGTCTTTTATACAGGTAACAAGCTGAGATTAGGAGCACTCCCTTTAAGAGTGTGCTCCTAATCTCAGCTCGTTACCTGTATAAAAGACACCTGGGAGCCAGAAATCTTTCGGATTTAGAGGAGGTCAAATACTTATTTACCTCATTAAAATGCTAATCAATTTATAACATTTTTGACATGCGTTTTTCTGGATTTTTGTGTTGTTATTATGTCTCTCACTGTTCAAATAAATCTACCATTAAAATTATAGACTGATCATTTCTTTGTCAGTTGGCAAACGTACAAAATCAGCAGGGGATCAAATACTTTTTTCCCTCACTGTACATAAGATATACATTAGATAGATGATATACATAAAACATCCTTACATCTGGAGCCAGAGTAGGGCAACAACAACAGAGAGAATGCCAAGAGTGTGCAAAGCTGTCATCAAGGCAAAGGGTGGCTATTTGAAGAATCTCTAATATAAAACATATTTTGATTTGTTTAACACTTGTTTGGTTACGACATAATTCCATATGTGTTAATTCATAGTTTTGATGTCTTCACTATTTATTCTACAATGTAGAAAATAGTAAAAATAAAGAAAAACCCTTGAATGAGTAGGTGTTCTAAAACTTTTGACCGGTAGTGTGTATATATACAGTGGGGAAAAAAAGTATTTAGTCAGCCACAAATTGTGCAAGTTCTCCCACTTAAAAAGATGAGAGAGGCCTGTAATTTTCATCATAGGTACACGTCAACTATGACAGACAAATTGAGAAAAAAAAATCCAGAAAATCACATTGTAGGATTTTTAATGAATTTATTTGCAAATTATGGTAGAAAATAAGTATTTGGTCACCTACAAACAAGCAAGATTTCTGGCTCTCACAGACCTGTAACTTCTTCTTTAAGAGGCTCCTCTGTCCTCCACTCGTTACCTGTATTAATGGCACCTGTTTGAACTTGTTATCAGTATAAAAGACACCTGTCCACAACCTCAAACAGTCACACTCCAAACTCCACTATGGCCAAGACCAAAGAGCTGTCAAAGGACACCAGAAACAAAATTGTAGACCTGCACCAGGCTGGGAAGACTGAATCTGCAATAGGTAAGCAGCTTGGTTTGAAGAAATCAACTGTGGGAGCAATTATTAGGAAATGGAAGACATACAAGACTACTGATAATCTCCCTCGATCTGGGGCTCCACGCAAGATCTCACCCCGTGGGGTCAAAATGATCACAAGAACGGTGAGCAAAAATCCCAGAACCACACGGGGGACCTAGTGAATGACCTGCAGAGAGCTGGGACCAAAGTATCAAAGCCTATCCATCAGTAACACACTACGCCGCCAGGGACTCAAATCCTGCAGTGCCAGACGTGTCCCCCTACTTAGGAGAGTACATGTCCAGGCCCGTCTGAAGTTTGCTAGAGTGCATTTGGATGATCCAGAAGAGGATTGGGAGAATGTCATATGGTCAGATGAAACCAAAATATAACTTTTTGGTAAAAACTCAACTCGTTGTGTTTGGAGGACAGAGAATGCTGAGTTGCATCCAAAGAACACCATACCTACTGTGAAGCATGGGGGTGGAAACATCATGCTTTGGGGCTGTTTTTCTGCAAAGGGACCAGGACGACTGATCCGTGTAAAGGAAAGAATGAATGGGGCCATGTATCGTGAGATTTTGAGTGAAAACCTCCTTCCATCAGCAAGGGCATTGAAGATGAAACGTGGCTGGGTCTTTCAGCATGACAATGATCCCAAACACACCGCCCGGGCAACGAAGGAGTGGCTTCGTAAGAAGCATTTCAAGGTCCTGGAGTGGCCTAGCCAGTCTCCAGATCTCAACCCCATAGAAAATCTTTGGAGGGAGTTGAAAGTCTGTGTTGCCCAGCGACAGCCCCAAAACATCACTGCTCTAGAGGAGATCTGCATGGAGGAATGGGCCAAAATACCAGCAACAGTGTGTGAAAACCTTGTGAAGACTTACAGAAAACGTTTGACCTGTGTCATTGCCAACAAAGGGTATATAACAAAGTATTGAGAAACTTTTGTTATTGACCAAATACTTATGTTCCACCATAATTTGCAAATAAATTCATAAAAAATCCTACAATGTGATTTTCTGGATTATTTTTTCCTAATTTTGTCTGTCATAGTTGACGTGTACCTATGATGAAAATTACAGGCCTCTCTCATCTTTTTAAGTGGGAGAACTTGCACAATTGGTGGCTGACTAAATACTTTTTTTCCCCACTGTATATATATCTATGCCTCAAGGTGTTGACGTTTATGAGAGACCACCCTCTGATGGAGAACAGTGTGATCGCAGCGCCCCTACTGGTGAGGAGGGGAATCACATACACTAAAGTAGCTGTTACCAGGACGACCACAGGGTCGGATGACGACCAGAGCAACGCAGCCACCGTGTTGCACCTCGGCACAGGTAAGAGGGGAGGGATAGAAGGGTGGTGGAGGGATAGTGGAGGGAGATGTGAGGAGAGAGACAGAGAGAAAGGGGATTCAAGGGTGGAGGAGTGGAGGGGTGGCTGAGGGGTGGTTAAGGGGGAGAAAGTAGTGTTGGTGGGGTAACTTGGAAGGAGGGATGGTAAAGTGAGAGAAAGGAAGACTTCTGGGAGGAGAAATGAGGGATCTGGTAAAGACTTAAAGGAGGAATGAATGTGAGAAAGATACATTTAAATGAGAGTGTGCTTTAAACCTTGTTAACGTGAGTGTGTGTCGCTCTCTCTCTGTGTGTGTGTGTGTGTGTGTGTGTGTGTGTGTGTGTGTGTGTGTATGTATGTCTAACCTACAGACCGTGGGGAGCTCCATAGAGTAGCGGTGGTAGGACAGAACACTACCTTACTACAGGAGATCTCTCTCTTCACTGCACAGGAACCTGTCAACAACATACTGCTGCACAAGGTAACACACACACACACACACACACACACACACACACACACACACACACACACACACACACACACACACACACACACACACACACACACACACACACACACACACACACACACACACACACACACACACACACACACACACACAGAGAGAGACATGTGGTCCTCTGTAGCTCAGCTGGTAGAGTACGGCGCTTGTAACGCCAAGGTAGTGGGTTCGATCCCCGGGACCACCCATACACAAAAATGTATGCACGCATGACTGTAAGTCGCTTTGGATAAAAGCGTCTGCTAAATGGCATATTATTATTATTATACACACGGAGACACAGAAATATTTACACACAAATACACATGTACACACATGCCGCACGCGCCAAACACAGAAGAATTTACACACTCGTACACACACACACGCAGGCATACACACAAGTACACACCAAAACAGTTACACACACCTTTTGTTAGGCCCAAATAATGTCGTTACATTAGGACATTGCCATTGCAGTGTACTTACACTTTCAGAGTGATAATAGTTACACTTTGATGTTTGTGTTACTACACATTGACATTATTACATCTTCTCTCTCTCTCGCTCTCTTTTTCTACCCCACCCCCTCCCGTTATCTCTCCCCTCCCTAGGGCCAGGCTCTGGTGGGTACCCAACTGTCCCTGGCCCGTGTGGGGGCGGAGGGGTGCAGCCTATACTCTTCCTGTGAGGAGTGTGCCCGGGCGAGACCCCTGGGGTGTGTGTGGAGGGTCAAAGAGGGAGCTTGCAGTCCCAGCATGACAGGGTGCGTAATACACACACTCTATTACAAAAGTATTTTCACACACACACACAAACACATTCACAGACTTCATACATACTGTACATACACACACACACACACAGTATTGTATAACTAACCTTGTGGGGACACACAATTCATTCCCATTCAAAATCCTATTTTCCCTCAACCTAACCCTAACCCTAACCTTAACCCCAAAACCTAACCTTAACCCTATACCTAAAACTAGCTCCTAATCCTAAACCTAATCCTAACAATAATTCTAACCTTAACCCTAAACCCCATAGAAATAGCATTTGACCTTGTATGCACTAAAAAAAAAATGTGTTTACTATTCTTGTGGGGACACAAGTATAGTTAAAAACACATGCGCACACACACACACACATTGGGTTTCTGGCTGAACTAACTGTGTGTGTGTGTGTGTGTGTGTGTGTGTGTTGCAGTCCTATCCAGGGAGAGGAGGTAGAGGATGCTCTGAGGCTGTGTGAAAGTGGAGAAGGTGAGTTAACTACTTGTTAATCAATGAGAAATACCATCTATACATGTACATTACAGCAAAGAGTTTCCAGGCTATAGCTGCAATTGAAATCCATAAAAAACACAGTAATATATATTTTTTACTCCCACCTCCCCCTCTCTCTTCCCCTCCCCCTTGCCTCCCACTCCTCCCCTCTCTCTCCCCCTCCCTCTCTCCTCCTCCCCCCTTCCTCTATCCCTCCCTCTCCTCTCCCCTCCACTACCCCCCCCCCCCCCCCCCCCCCCCACCTCCAGGTCGTTGCTCCCCTGCCCAGAGGGTACTGCTTGTCTCAGTGGGTCTCCGTGTCCTTCTCCCCTGTGTCCAGGTGTCACCACATCCCTGTACCTGGGTACACCCACCACACAGGTGATGCTTAGTAATAATATGAATAATAACAATAATAATAACAACAACAACAATAATAATATCTCTCAATGCTTGCAATGTTTTTCTTCAAGACACACCCGTCAGCACCACTCTGACCTGGAAGTCACCGTCACAGCGGAGAGCCTGGGGACATACACCTGTCTGTGTCAGGTAGGCTGAACACACACACACACACACACATACACATATGCAAGCACTCTTTGCTGCTCCCAAAATGTATCTTTAATAAATCTCTCTCTCTCCATCCTGTCCCTTTCTCTTGCCTCTGTCCCCCTAATCCTCTATCCCCCCTACCCGCCTCTCTCCCCCCACCAGGAGGGTGCTTCAGGGGGTAAAGAGGAGAGTCCTCCCTGTAGTAGAGCCTCCTACCAGCTCACCCTGGAGGGCCCAAGCACCGGGGGGGCTGTGGCGTTGGCCGGAGGGCGCCACATACTGGTCGTCTACATCCTCTGCTTCAGGTAGGATAAACACACGCACACACGTATGAAAACACATACAGACATGCACATATGGACAAATGCGTGGATACACACGTACACATGCACGTACGTATGCACACACGCATCCAAATGTTAATAAACCTTTCTCTCCCTCTTCCTCTCCTCCCTCCCCCCTCTCTCCCCCCATTCTCCCCCTCTTTCCCCCAGCCTGGGTGTCACCCTCGGAGGCTTCCTCCTTTACGTCCTGTCCCGCCGCCGCGGGATTAGCCAGCGCCACCCTGACCATTCCCTCTCCTCGGAGAAGGGACGGGACTTGCTTGACTCCTCGGCGACGCCTCAATCTCCTAGCAGCGCCAGTTTGTTGTCCGAGGGTTTCCCGCTAACGGAGAAGAGAATGGGGAACGGTACGCTGCTCCTCACACACCACCACAATAACGGCAACAGTCACCATGGCAACTACGGCGGCGGCAGTGGCTACGGCGGTAACCGTGGCAACGCGGGCTACGCTAACACCGATCCATTAAACACGCCGGTGATGTCAGCGACGTCGACCGTGGCGGAGGGGCTAAAGCTTCACGTTCAGGAGACTGTGGCGGACGAGAAGAGGGGGGGAGATAGGGAAAGGGGGAGGCCGGAGGGAGGAGAGGGAGGAGGAGAGGGGGATGAGGAGGACGAGGGGCTAGGGGAGGGGTTGGGGGGACTGGAGGAGGAGCTAGCAGGGTTTGTGTTGTTTAAGTTACCAGCACCATTAGCCCAGTGTGAGGAGAGTTCTATCTGATACACTGGAAGGACACAGTAGACACACGCAATACACATCTTACATGTGAGAGACATGGAAAACATGATATGGGAGATACATGAACATAAACAAAGATGTTAGAGAGACACAGGATGGACACGGGATGGACACAGAAGAGACACAGAATACATGTGGGGGACATGGAAGAAACATGAGCATAAACATGACAAAGGCATGACAGAGACATGGGAGAGTGACATACATGTTGAGAAACTGGGGCAAGACATAATATGTGTCCCAAATTCCCTATACTGTATAGTGCACTATTTTTGACCAAAGGCCAATGGACCCTGGTCAAAAGTAGTGCACAATTTAGGAAGTAGAGTGCCATTTGAGACACAGCCAAAAAGAGATACATTACCGGTTCATAACATTATAGAGCTCTACTCCCTCTTGTTATGTGGCAGACGGCACCGATCCTGTGCATGATGTGGTGAGAGGTCATTTCTCCGCCAATTCTCCAGGACACCTCCAGGACTTCTATTAATGGAGACGGCTGTTGCGTCCCAATAATCTCTCCTTTCTCCCGAAGTGTGCACTTGTTCACTTCTTCCCTCTTGCTCATGGATTTAAAAGCATTGGATTGGTGTAAGCGTTGGCCAGAGAGGGTTTCCACAATTGATAACTCCATGACTGGGAGTGTACAAGAAGTGCAGTACTTTGGGAGAAGGGTGGAGAATCTATATGCCGCCTGAATAACTATGGATCTGTCTCTGACCTCTAAGATGGACTGGACTGGCCGAGGTCCGAGGTTAGAGGTCAAACATTAGGTCAGGAGGTCAACATTTACTTTCTAAGATCATGATTGAAAAAAAACAGTTCCTAAATGAACTGGAGGCGGAACAGTATTAGGGGAGATTAGGGTAACTTGAATTGAACTTAAATTGAGCCACCCTTGTTTCTAGGGAACCATACACAAAATGTATAATTTGACAAAAAATGTAGGATGAGGTCATTATTTCATGGCGTCTGTGAAGGAAGAACCACTTGGAAAAAGTGGTAAGCAAGTTAGGTCCAAAAAACGGATTTTCACCAAGTCAAATTAATTTATTGTGTTAGAGGATTCATGATGCTTGTACCTAAACCAAAGTAGATATTTTTAAGATTGTTCTATACTATAGTTGGGGTCTCTATAAGCTTCAATATGAGGTCCTAAACCTAGCATGAAAGTGCATCCTTGTAGCTATGTGGACTAATATAGTCAAAATGTTTGCCTTGGTAAGTTGAGCCAATGGCCATGGAGTAAGTTGAGCCAATGGCAAGTTGAGCAAATTGAAGTGTTTTCTTCCCAGGCGTAATGCAAGGCATTATCGCTGGGATATGAGGTAACAACAGGGTCTGGCCTATGTCAAACATGTTTAAAAAAGTGTTTGTTAGGTGTTAAGCCTGTGTTAACAGGTGCTTCAAATTATTAAAAGACAAAAAGCATTTGTGATTGTGTTGAATTGTGTTTTGGAAATAAAGATAGACATGGTTTTAAAAAGGTAGTGGTAATATTTCATTCAGTACATACATTTGTTGGAGGCTTAACTAACCCTGTTCCGTGGCTCAACTTACCCCATATCCGGGGTAAATTGTGCCAAAAGTACACTTTTTTGGACAAGCTATGTTTTCAAAACTGTAATGTTTACATGAATTCTGATTATTTCCAGGGATACACAACATCCTGAAATATATGTAGAAATCTTTCTTAGAATGAATACTATATTTCCCACGGAGTGATGCTCAATGTAAAAAATGGCTCAACTTAAAAAAAGGACCCCCTACAATGAAAAAAAGGAAGTGGATTGGAATTCCAAAATGGAATTTTGGAAAACTGAGAGGGATTCTGTTATGGAATTTCCCAGCCTCACCTGGCTGGACGTCCGCCATTTTGTTTCTCTGAGTGAGGGGCTTTGTCCCAAATGGCACCCTATTCCTTATATAGTACACTACTTTTGACCAAAGCCCCTTACACCAACGTTGGCTCCGACGAAGATTGCGGCCTCGCGACTAGCTCTTAGGAAACTTTGCCGACCGTATTATCTCCCAAGATAATTTTCTTCGGTTATAGTCACGGCCGTGTATATCCCCCCTCAAGCCGATACCACGACGGCCTCCAAGGAACTTCACTGGACTTATGCAAACAGGTAACCATATATCCTGAGGCTGCATTTATTGTAGCCGGGGATTTTAACAAAACAAATTTGAGGACTAGGCTGCCGAAGTTCTATCAACATTTCGACTGCGCTGCTAAAGTCCTCGACCATTGTTATTCAAACTTCCGGGATGGTTATAAGGCCCTCCCCCGCCCTCCTTTCGGCAAATCTGAAATCTGACGACTCCATTTTGCTTCTCCCTTCCTATAGACAGAAACTCAAACAGGAAGTACCCGTGCTAAGGACTATTCAACGCTGGTCTGACCAATCGGAATCCACGCTTCAAGATTGTTTTGATCACGCGGACTGGGATATGTTCCGGGTAGTTTCCGAAAATAATTTTGACATATACACTGAAGCAGTGACTGAGTTCATCAGGAAGTGTATAGGTGATGTTGTGCCCAGTGTGACTATTAAAACCTACCCTAACCAGAAACCGTGGATAGACGGCAGCATTCGCGCAAATCTGAAAGCGTGAACCATCACATTCAACCATGGCAAGGTGACTGGGAATATGGCAATTCAACTGGCAAAACATCAGTATAGAGACAAAGTGGAGTTGCAATGCAACGGCTCAGACACGAGACGTATGTGGCAGGGTCTACAGACAATCACAGACTACAAAAAGAAAACCAGCCACGTCGCCGACACCGACGTCTCGCTTCCAGACAAGCTAAACACCTTCTTCGCCCGCTTTGAGGATAACACAGTGCCACTGACGAGGCCCACTACCAAGGACTGTGGCCTCTCCTTCTCCATGGCCAACGTGATTAAGACATTTAAGCATGTTAACCCCCGCAAGGCTGCCGGCCCAGATGGTATCCCTAGCCGCATCCTCAGAGCATGCGCAGACCAGCTGTCTGGTGTGTTCATGGACATATTTAATCTCTCCCTTACCCAGTCTGCTGTTCCCACATGCTTCAAGTGGGCCACCATTGTTCCTGTACCCAAGAAAGCAAAGGTAACTGAACTAAATGACTATCGCCCTGTAGCACTCACCTCTGTCATCATGAAGTGCTTTGAGAGTCAAGGATCATATCACCTCTACCTTACCTGTCACCCTAGACCCACTTCAATTTGCTTACCACCCCAATAGATCCACAGATGATGCAATTGCCATCACACTGCACACTGCCCTATCCCATCTGGACAAGAGGAATACCTATGTAAGAATGCTGTTCATTGACTATAGCTCAGCATTCAACACCATAGTACTCTCCAAGCTCATCATTAAGCTTGAGGCCCTGGGTCTGAACCCCGCCCTGTGCAACTGGGTCCTGCACTTCCTGACGGACCGCCCCCAGGTTGTGAAGGTAGGAAACAACATCTACACTTCGCTGATCCTCAACACTGGGGCCCCACAAGGGTGCGTGCTCAGCCCCCTCCTGTACTCCCTGTTCACCCATGAGTACGTGGCCAAGCACACCTCCAACTCAATCATCAAGTTTGCAGACGACACAACAGTAGTAGGCTTGATTACCAACAATGACGAGACCGCCTACATGGAGGAGGTGAGGGCTCTGGGAGTGTGGTGCCAGGAAAATAACCTCTCACTCAACATCAACAAAACAAAGGAGATGATTGTGGACTTCAGGAAATAGCAGAGGGTGCACCCCCCTATCCACATCGACGGGACCGCAGTGGAGAAGGTGGAAAGTGTCAAGTTCCTTGGCGTACACATCACCGACAAACTGGAATGGTACACCCACGCAGACAGTGTGGTGAAGAAGGCGCAACAGAGCCTCTTCAACCTCAGGAGGCGGAATAAATTTGGCTTATCACCTAAAACCCTCACAAACTTTTACAGATGCACAATTAAGAGAGCATCCTGTCGGGCTGTATCACCACCTGGTACGGCAACTGCACCGCCCACAACCGCAGGGCTCTCCAGAGGGTGGTGCGGTCAGCCGAACGCATTACCGCCCTCCAAGACACATACAGCACCCGATGTCACAGGAATACCAAAAAGATCGTCAAGGACATCAACCACCCGAGCCACTGCCTGTTCACCCCGCTATCATCCAGAAGGCGAGGTCCGTACAGGTGCATCAAAGCTGGGACCGAGAGAATGAAAAACTGCTTCTATCTCAAGGCCATCAAACTGTTAAATAGCCATCACTAGCACATTAGAGGCTGCTGCTGCCTATTGAAATCACTGGCCACTTTAAGAAATGGAACACTAGTCACTTTAATAATGTTTACATATCTTGCACTACTCATCTCATATGTATATACTGCATTCTATTCTATAATATTATTCTGTATCTTAGTCCATGCCGCTCTGTCATTGCTTGTCCATATATGTATATATTCTTAAATCCCATTCCTTACTTTTTTATGTGTATTGGGTATACAGTGGGGAGAACAAGTATTTGATACACTGCCGATTTTGCAGGTTTTCCTACTTACAAAGCATGTAGAGGTCTGTAATTTTTATCATAGGTACACTTCAACTGTGATTTTATTGCATGACATAAGTATTTGATCACCTACCAACCAGTAAGAATTCCGGCTCTCCCTCCTGTTCTCCACTCATTACCTGTATTAACTGCACCTGTTTGAACTCGTTACCTGTATAAAAGACACCTGTCCACACACTCAATCAAACAGACTCCAACCTCTCCACAATGGCCAAGACCAGAGAGCTGTGTAAGGACATCAGGGATAAAATTGTAGACCTGCACAAGGCTGGGATGGGCTACAGGACAATAGGCAAGCAGCTTGGTGAGAAGGCAACAACTGTTGGCGCAATTATTAGAAAATGGAAGAACTTCAAGATGACGGTCAATCACCCTCGGTCTGGGGCTCCATGCAAGATCTCACCTCGTGGGGCATCAATGA